TTAACGAAAGTCGCCTCGATGGATAAGATAGCGTTAATATACATGGCTGTGGTATTTGTTTTTTGCTGAGTCCCATAGTTTCTTGTAAATTGTCCTCCAAAGTTGTCTCAAATTAGAGTCTTAAAAAGTGTCACGACAGGCCTTCGCTCGATTGAAATTTAATTTCCGTAAAACTCAGAAAAATAAAGAGATTCGATCAAACGGATTGTGGTTTTAGTATAGGTACATGAATGTCTTACAACACAAAAGAAATGAGCTAAATCTGTGTCTCCAGCAAAATCGACCGGACCGCTCTTACAGAGACACTCTCTTAATTCTCCCTGGGGACATATGTGGGCATGGTCCTCTGGATTTGTTGACATTTGCTGCCAATTTTTAGCCCAGGATGGGGGATTGGATTGCTTTTGCAATTTTATAGCAGAATCCCTGAGGAAAAGACCCCAAGGATTTGTTACAATGTATGCACCTCGCAGAATTGGCTGGGAAAGAGAATAACAAGAGAAGTATAGAGAATGTTGTCCTTTCCCATTCCTTGACTTACAAAAAAGCTCAACTTCATCCCATGCAGTAGACAAGTGTAGGCTGAGGCCAGACTTCGAACTTTTCTTGAGACAAACTAAATTGTGATTTGTGTGGATCTTGATTGAGTTTGACAGCTGGGCCAATTGCAAAATTAACTAAGCATCTAACCATGATGCAGCCAAACCACACCTCAAAGGTATCATTATATTAGGATACAATAAATGTCCAGATGATGACTCCTATCACCTTCCAAAGAAAAAAGGAATAAAGACCAACTTATCACAGGTTTAGAGGCTACCTCAAAAAATGAAGCTGGCAGGGATGAGAAACAGTTTGTTGCTATTTCTATTTTTTTTCTCATTTCTTTTAACTTTGCCTTACAGTTGTACTACTCTTTAAAAGAGGCATTTTAAGTAAAACAAGATGCTGTGGTAGCGAATATTTGGGCGTCGATGTTCTAGGCGTGTGTGAAGTTTTTTTTTATGTGTATTAGGGATATGTGAGTTTACTGAGTAGTGCAGTAGCGTTGTATATTTTGGGGGTTGGTTGAAATGAGTGACGTGGAAGGCATGGAGTTATATTGGACGGGAATTGGTAGGATAATGGCTGTAGTTTGCTAATCAGTGAAACTTGTTTCTCGTAGAATTTAATATGAAGTAACAAAAGATAATTAATTTGGGAGGTAACAGTGAGTTAGGTGTCGGTTATGAGGTCGGTTATGAAGGGATAGTGTTAAGTTACAATGTGTTGAAATGTAGTGGTGGTTGTGAAAAGTCTTATCAATAGTCGATAACATACTTTTAAACGTTGTTAGGCTTTCTTTTTAGGATCGTTTTTCTTTTATTTTTGATAATATTTGTATGGAGGGAACATGAATAAGGCCAAAAGTTCATTCAATATAGAGAAGGGGGTATGAAGACGAAAGTTTGTGCGTGTGTTCGGGGGCTTTAAAAAAATCGGTGAGGTCAAGGGGAGGGCATAAAAGCTGGCTCTAGAACTAAGGGCGTGATTACATGAGCCGGGCTGGCTCGCTTTACAGAGATTCCGGCACCTTAGTTAAATGCAACAAAAATCAACTTTGCGATTATATGACAACTGAGCCAGCCTGGTTAGCTGGGATCCTGGTTCTGTGATGCCGGGATCCCAGGTGGCAATTTTCCAAGTAATCACACTTTCCAGGCGGCCCGGCAAATGAACCAAGCAAGAAACAGGACAGTGGGTAACACACTGTTCATGGGCATTGCTAACCTCACTGGCTCATGTGATCAGGCCCTTACTGTGAGTTGTATTGTCATGCAGTTTGCACATGAATTTGCTTTGGAATTAGCCCGCTTTTGCGGTTTGTGTATGAGAGAATACGACTTGATCTAATTAACCCAAGGGTTTTAAAAAGAAAACGCAGTTTGCAAGAGAATACGTTTAAGCATGATAGATAGTCAGTCAGCTTTACTAAATTATGAGGAAGACTACGAATATTAAGTTGTAGGAAAGAGAAATCGGCATCAGAATAATTTTCGCATCTGAGCATTTCGATAAATTGATTTTCAATATTTGATAGTTTGTTTCACTCAGTGTACCTTGTTTTTCCAAAAAGGTTTGTTTTCTATTGCCGATTTGTTTGCTGTGCGTTATCTGTGGGTCGTATCTAACGAAGATAAATGTTGTGTTGTGATGCAGTGCGAGGCAGACATTTGCGTTGCTTGGCTTGTTTACTTGGAGTGTTTATGTTCGCACGTATTGTGTGCCTATTGCAACTTTGAATCAAAACAAGTGAACTCGATTACTCTATTTGGGCGACACCCAAATAAAAAGAAGTAAAGAAAAAAAATTTTACTACAGTCGGGAAGTCCCTCGACAGGAGGCTTCATCTGAAGTCTTGGAACCAACAGGGGACAACAGAGGGGTACCGGTTACAAACCACTTTGTACAAATCATCAGGGGTTCCCTTTGACCGATTCTGTCAGCGGTTCTCCAACTA